TCAGTAAGAAAGCAGTAGACGTGCTTCTTGCCAGTCTAAAATTCAAGTACGGTAACACATTACAATACAAGTTGGCTCAGAATGGTGACTATAGTTCTTCTATTGTTTTTTATCATTTGCATATGATATGTCAGTTCACATTTTAATACATCATCTGGAGTCTCGGGAAGTGGGTGGTCTAGAAATATATGTAAATAAATAAACTTCTCATTCTGTATCATTGGATGCTACAGGTAAGGGTGGAGAGCTATCCTTTTGCTGTAGTAAAAGCTTTATAGTCATTGGTGAGTTTAAAAGGTCTGTAAAAGGTAAAGCAGGAAGTCAGAAGCAAGTATAGCTAATGACGTAAGGTTTTAAGTTTTACAAGGTTTAATAGCAAAGATGAGGTTATTTGAAGTATTCTTCACTTCACTTCACTTCACTTCACTTTGGAGTGGATTGATGCCTTCAGCTTTGAAATCATAAGAAAAGCTTTGCTTTTCAAGTCCACATGCTTATCTAATCCAACATTAGGTGTCAAAAGTCAACCAGGAATATTCTAAAAATTCATGAACGTGGCCAGACCAGCAGTAGCCCTCCACCAATAGCTGGTATTTAGGTATACTACCCGTTACCAAAACCATTAGCCATAAATTTAGCTAAAGGAAGCAGTGAAACCCATTTTAACTATACATTATGTAAAATATACTTTTTAACAGTCCTGAATTCTTAACATATTTAGTTTCAATATGGTAGATGACTCTGAGTCCTACTGTTGATAGAAAAAACTTGCATCCAGATATATATTTCCATACCATGCATAATTTTATACTCTTCTATCATGTTATCTCTCTTTACTTCAAATGAAAAAGCCCTAGATGCTACAGGTAGTCCTTGACCAGGGGTCTTCAAACCTGGCCCTTTTATGACTTGTGGACTTCAACTCCCAGAATTCCTCAGCCAGGCACAAGTCATAAAAGGGCCAAGTTTGAAGACCCCTGTCCTTGACTTACAACACAATTGAGCCGAAAGTTTTTCTTGCTAAGCAAGACAGCTGTTAAGTGGATGTTGCCTCCGAGACCGCCTTCTGCCACAGATTTCCTCCCACAGACCGGTACGCTCCCACAGAGTGGGTCTCCTCAGGGTGCCGTCGGCCAAACAATGTCGGCTGGCGACCCCCAGGGGAAGGGCCTTCTCTGTGGGTGCCCCCACCCTCTGGAACGAACTACCCCCCGAGATCCGGATGATTCCGGATCTCCTTACTTTCCGCCGCGCCCTCAAGACATGGCTTTTCCAGCAAGCGGGCCTGACCTAGGGAGGATTTTAGTTAGGGATGATTTTAATATAATTTTAATTACGACACAGCTACTAATATTTGGCTTTTAATTTGGTTTTAGAGGGTTTTTATTTTGGTATTTATTTATTTTATTTTGGTATTTTATTGTTACTTGTTTTTAATATGCTGTGCACCGCCCTGAGTCCTTCGGGAGAAGGGCGGTATATAAATCAAATTAATAATAATAATAATAATAATAATAATTTTATGATCTTTCTTGCCACAATTGTTAAGTAAATCATGGCAAGCTGTTAAGTTAGTAACACGGTTATTAAGTGAAGCTGGCCTCCCCATTGACGTTGCTTGTCAGAAGGTTGCAAAAAAGTGGTCACATGACCTCAGGACACTGCAAATGTCATAACTACAAACGCCAGTTGCCAAGTGTCCAAATTTTGATTGTGTGACCATGGGGATGATTAAAACGATTAAAAGTGTGAAAACTGATCGTAAGTCACTTTTTTCATTGCCTTTGTGACTTTGAACAATCACTAAAGCAGGGGTTCTCAACCTATGGGTTGCGACCCCATTTGGGGTCGATCGACCATTTCACGGGGGTCGCCAAGCAAGGCTGTCCGCCATTTTTTTCCCCTTTTCCGGCGGGTGCCTTACCTCCCTTGAGCTGGGCCAGCTGGTGGTCAGCCTGCTCCGTCTCTGCCGCTTGCCAGCTATGCCTCGGCCGGCGCAGGGGGCGGAACCACGCATGCACGGCGCTCCCGGGCAGGGAAAGTCCTCGACTTACGACCAGTTGGGTAGTCCTTGACTTACGACCGGTTTAGTCCTCGACTTATGACCGGTTTAGTCCTCAACTTATGACCGGTTGGGGGGTCGCGGCATTAAAAAGGTTGAGAACCACTGCACTAAAGGAATGGTTGTACATCAAGGATTACCTCTATTATTTTTGTCTCATGGAATTGTCTCAAACATTTTAAATCACTGGCATTTCCTTGACCTTCTTTAAAGTAGTTTAATCAAAAATTGGACCAGAAACTGTTTGGCCGTTGAGGAGTCTAGGAAAAAAAAACTGATCAAGGGCTATCTAGGTGGTTGGTCAAGCAGATAGATTTTCCTGGTGTAACCTGATTCTGAGCAGATTGCAGAACATTTTAACTAGAAGGAAGCAGATTCTATCTTAATTGGTGGCAGGTATAACAGCCTTGGATTTAGCTCTGAAGAGCCTTCAGGTGCAAACCGTAGAATCAGTTTGTTTTTTCAGAAATTTTTAGTTTATTCAAAGCAGGTTAAAATATGAAATGCCAAAATATTTTTAAAAGGACAAAATAATTTAAAAAACATAACAAAAAAGACATTAAAAAGTGAAAGTGTCTTAAAAAAAGAAAAAAAGACAAACACATATACATATATTCTTCTTTTTTAAGACATCTTTGAATTACTTTGAATCACCTTCTCCAAATACAACAATGATGGTAATAAACTATTTTTTCCCCCAGCAACTCAGTGTGATAGTGACACCTTCAGTTGACATTCACAAAAATAAATTGGATGCACACATTCTGATTTTCTCCTCTTTGCTTTGTGATGAATCTTGTGCTGTTGTTTGTATGTGTGTCTTGGCAGTATTCTGTGTTCTAGAAAGAAAAGAGACTGATGGGCTTCTGTGCTTAATAGCTTCATAACCCATCCAATAATTTATATGAAGTTGTCTAGTCTGAATACATTTAGGAAAATGGCAATGGTCATTGGCCAGTAAACAAGAATCATTATGTGCTATAGCAAATAACTTTGATAAATCTCCTAAATAATATTTATAGTTCTAGTTGCTTAAAGGACTGTGTAAGTGACAGATTTAGAATATTAAAGTAATGTTATAATAAATTTTCAACAAATGTATTTTCAGTAAGTTGCAGTTTTTCACTTAAAACCTTCAATGTATCTAGTGCACTTTTTGCCCACTGCTTCAAAATCATTTTTAAAATTCTGTTGTTTTGGACTAAAAACAAAATGTACCTCACTTAAGTTTTTTATTAGTTACTTTTCTGAGATCCTTCAGAAAAGGACAATACTATAGTTTAGGAGTCAGAAGGAGTCAAGTAATCATATTTGTCACCCACTTTCTATGCAGATGAAGAAAAACCACATTTTGAACTGCAGATACCTTAGTTCAAATCATGACTTTATAATGCTGTTATGGATAAGTCTATTCATTTTCTGTCAGTTTATAGCAGGGGTCTTCAAACTTGGCCCTTTTATGACTTATGGACTTCAACTCCCCAAATACCTCAGCCAGCGTGCCTGGCTGAGGAATTCTGGGAGTTGAAGTCCACAAGTCATAAAAGGGCCAAGTTTGAAGACCCCTGGTTTATAGGTATATAAACTGATAGAAAATGAATAGATATATAGTTTATAGATATGATGCAATTTTGTGCATCTGAGTTGGTTACGTGCTCCTCTTTTCCACCCAATGCCATTTATCAGAAATCTAGGCAATGAGTCTCCCACTGGAGAAAGCTGTTGGGGAAATACTAACAGGAAGACTAAGCTGTATTTTTCTTCGGAATGTGGCCTTTCTTTTAGCATAAAAATACTTCCTTCTCAAAGACAGTAGTTAAGATGTTAATCAGTTCACATTTTAGTAGTTTCACAACAGAACAGTTAAAGCAGGTACACCTCATAGATGCACCTTCCCCTTTCTTCCTTTTCCCATGTGCTGTTTCAGTAAATTTTAAATGCCTTCCATACCTGTGATTACTATTCTTTTCTTTCAGATCCAATAAGATTTTGAAATGTCCTTTATATTTGACTGGATTTACAGTGGCTTCAGTAG